CTTCTACAAGTAGGGAAAGACTTGGACCTTCTAATTTTTTCTTAAGGCAAACATGCTCTGTGCTATTTTAAATAAGGGTTACAAGCAATATCTGATGTAGCTATTTAATGAATAAGATCTTTAAGAAAGGCACGAAGTTTACAGGCTCTACTAAAACAGCATAGTACTTGGGAAGAGGGGGGAGGACACAATTACGACCAAAGTCAGGTTGTACACAAACCTATAATGTGCTAAAAAGAGAACTGGGAGCAAGTTGGAGATGGGAATTCAATTAGTGCAAGAAAAAGACTAAAAACAAATTTAGCAAGAAATCAGAAATTTCAAGTATAGTCAACACTAGCCAGCTATTTGTCTCACATGTAATATGTGATTATTTATTTTACACCATCCCCACCTCCAAGCCCATCTACCCAAATCGTCCCTCTGCTAAAGGGTCCAATGATAACAATGGAGTTTGTGTCCTTTCTGATCAGTCAATGAGCTCTCTGGAAATCATAGGCATGCTGTTTCTGAGCAGGCCTTAGGAGGAAGGAGAAGCTATAGTCATGGTCTCTCATAACATTTATTCTCCGGTGATTAGTCAAGCCAATACCAACCTCTCCAAACCTAAAGACTCTATTCTTCTCTCATTTTGCTTTTGGAGATATGATTCTCCCCCAAATAACCATTGAATTGGAAGGACTCCGAAACACAGGCCAATGAGGAAGCACACAGAATACATGCATGTTGTGATTGTCAGCAAGTCTAGCAGCACCATCCCTAGCCCTACCTGGTTTGTAAGGTCCGTGGCCACACAACTCAACTCTAGCCCATAGACACTAAGGCATGGAAGCCCCAGTGGACCTTCATATTCTGAGGACTAACTGGATTGGCTCAATCTAGATGAGAATGATTTCTCCTGACTGTTCATATGCCCGCCTGCCTCAAAGTAGTCCATAAGTGATGAGAGCAGTCAGGAAGGTCGAACAAAGATTATATTCCTTTGCAAAAGTCCCTTTGGTGAAAAGAGAAAATATGGAGGTGGGTGGCCTCCACCCAATCTTTGTCCCAGTAGTTTGACTCTGCTTTAGTAAATCAAAGGGAAGCTGCCCTGCCCTGCCCTGCCCTACTCGGCTCAGGATCCACCTCTATAACCATGAGGACCGTGGATGCCCAGATCCCTGGGTAAACAGAGAGTCCATCAAACCTTAGTATCATAATCCAAGGGCCAAGGATACACACACACACACACACACACACACACACACACACACACACACAAAAACCAAAGACAGAGAAGCAGGGTATGGGAGGGTATAGGTGTACATTTGTGCTTATATATAACACAGCCAGAGGGCCAGGGTTTTATGTGTACATACAAAGTACCACATTCAAAAGGGTAGAGATTCTCTCTCTCTCTCTCTCTCTCTCTCTCTCTCTCTCTCTCTCTCTCACACACACACACACACACACACACACACACACACACACATCCATATACTTTGTACCATAGACAAAGGAGCAGAGGGACTCACATTTTGTACAAAGGAATATGCATATAAGAATAGATATACACAGATGTGTACACATGCACATATCCATATACTGTACTAACAGAGAGGCAGGGATTTACACACACAAATACAAATATATACTTGTATACACACACACACATACATACACAGGATGCAATACAGATGGGCAAGAGCTCTCACACACAATACTACAGGGAAGTTCCAAGACAAAGCTATTTTTAAAATGGCTTTATTTCCTGGTGGAATACCATCATCACACAAGGTCTAAAATGCAATCTCCTTGCTGATTCTGGTTCTGTGAACTCAGCGAGAGGAGCAGACAAACAATAAGCATTTCTCAACAGAAAGCCCAATTCCAGTGACAGCATCCAGATTACATTTTAAAAATCTGCTCTAACACCTCTCTGTCTCTAGCAAATGACAGTGGTCCTCCATATTTTACATATTCCTGGTCTTTCAACAAAATCCAATATGCGCATCTGGATGGAGCCAAGTGACAAAAACAGGCACACACAGTCCACCCAAGCCCTTCAGGCTCTTCCTCCACAGACGAATAAAGCAAATTAATAAAGAGCAATTGTGAGCCAGCACCAGGTCTTGGCTGACCAAAGAGGGTATGGGAAGGTTTGTCACCTGTGCCTGGAGGACAATGGAAGGAGGTTCTGACCTGGTGCAGTTTGGGGGTAAGGGGATGTTGCCTTACGCAGTCTTGCCTACATATAGCTGCGTTGCCTCAAGAGAAATTTTTAAATGTAGAAAGCAAAATAAAGCTTGAGGTTCACTAGACTGTTCAGTATTCTATAGGCTAATCATGCCTTTCTCCAATCTATCTTAATGAATTTGCAATTAAAAAAAAGTTTGAAATGTGCTCTTAGCACTTACTCTAGTAAAAAAAAAATCACCATTCCCTTTATTTTGCATTTGAAAATGATCCACTTTTCTTTCACCAATTTCCCTTTCTTTCTCTTTCTCTGATTTCCCTCTTTCTCCCTTTATCTCTCCTGCTCTTCCCCTCTTCTCTTTCTCTTTTCCCTTTTCTTCCTTCTTTCCTCCCTCCCCTCTTTTCCCCTTTCTTCTCTTCCACTCTTTTCTCTCCCTCTCTTCCATTCTTCTCCCCCTCTACCTCCCCTTCTTTCTCTCTCCTTTTCAATAAAAGCAGCTCTAACCGAATTGAACTGCCAAGAAACCAAATCATTAGGTGAACAAACAGTTCAAACCCGGATCCTAAAAAGTTCCCTGTCTGCTCCTCAGTTTTGCTGGGCCAGATCCTCCTGCGTGTGCAGTTGGAAAGGAGCAACTAAGTATTCAGAGAAGATTTCTGTCATTTTAAATTTGCTTCGGAAAAGGGTTGTTATGAGTAAGTGAATTATCTACCTCTAGAGTGATGCCTCGCCTGTCTGCTCTCAAGGCGGTTTTTCAGCTCTGTTTGTGGTCCCGACTTGATAAACCGACAGAAACTCCCTTTCCTCTCCCGGAAAAAGAAAAGGCCCCGCATGGCACAAACGGTTCTGAGCAGATGCCAAAACATGGATGCTCCCTCCCCTACACCCCTTTCCTCCTTGGCCCCAGTCTGATTAGGTCCCCGGGAAAGTTATTGAAAGCAAAATAATGGGAAAGCCTGGCCTGAATTTAGAGGAGACACTCCGAGGCCGAAGCAGTTTGGGGAACGGAGGCAAAAATGTAGTAACCGGGAGATGGAGAGAAAAAATTCCACCCGTCAAAACTAAGGCACAAAACCCGGGGTCGGCTAGTGCTGCATTTAAAGAGGTGCCTGGGACCCTGGGTAAAGGATTCTTACTTCCAGGTCGCTCCCCCCAGCGCTTCCTAAGCCAGGACCTGGGCTAAAAGCCAAGCTGGACAAGCATAAAGTGCAATAAGAAGACATCACCCCACTAACTGGAGTAAACTCAGTCCCAGCGTCCACACCTCCTTGCCCCTGCCGCTGCCTGCCCTAGAGCTCTGGCTCCTTCAGCCGCTGGGGTCTGAGTCTCTGGGAAGACGCAGATTTCTCGGAGAGGTCTCTTTGGAAGCAAGCGAGATGACCCACAGGAAGATTCACTATCCTGGGACCTCGGGTCTGGGGGCTCTCAGGTACTGCATCTTTAGGGCCACGGGAGTCGTTCCTGCTTTAGAGCCAGCAACACCTTTCGCCCAAACCTCTTGGATTCGGTTACGGCAGCCTGTATGCTGTTTAGTTATTATTATTTTTTGGGGGGGGTTTGTTGTTGTTGTTTTGTTTTGTTTCATATGAAGAAACATTTTAAAAGGAAGGACTAAGGGTCCTTTCGTGGGGCAGCCCCCAAAGGACTAGCTGAAATGCTGAAGCACCCTCTTCAGGAACGCAGGCCCAGGGTCCTACCCTGTCCCTGGGTCCAGAGCAAGAGGAAGCCTCCCACGGCCAGAGCTTGGGCACTGCAGTCCTTGGTCCGGAGCCCCGGGCTCGTCCCCATGGAGACCGGCCTGGCCACTGCAGCTATGAGCAAGCCCGGCTCGGAAAAGGGCGGGCAGGCAGCAGCGGCCCCTGAAGCCGAGGGACAAAAGGGGCCGAACCTCCCTTCCCTTTGTCTAGGGCCGGGGGCAGCTCTGAGTTGGGGAAGGAAGAGGAGGGAAACAAGACCCCAGGTCGGTGTGGGGGCGGCCGGCGGCCTCCCTGCTTCGAAGGGCGCCAGGTCTGTAGTAAACCCAACCAAACTGAACCAAACAGTCTCTGAGAGTCAGAGAATCAAGAAAATAGGGCAATTGGGCCTCTGCAAATCGGGTGGGCCCAGTACCAGTATTCCTAGGCTCCGGGCCTGAGGAAATAGCCAAGAGGGGCTCTGAGTTGCCACCATGGAGCACAGCAATGGATAAAGAATGGCCTGCACATTCTCTCCAGAGGCCCAGGGCTTGTTTTGGCCTGGGACAGGATCTTAGCCTCTGAGACCTAGAGTATCCAGGGCAGGTGAGCTCCTTGTAGAAGGAAGACCCAGGGTAACTTTTCCTTACAACTCCAAGCTTGTGAGGGTGGGAGAGAGAGCTCTATGAGAGAGTCCAGAACTGTAGGCCTAACCTTGGAGAAGCTGCTGGATTCCTAGAGGAGTTAGGATGGGCAAGCCCACAACTCTCTTGAACCCCCACCTAAGGCAAGCGAAAAGGGACTACCAAACGCTCATGGATCTTTGCTGATCAGCAAGCAGGGCCCATAAAGCATGTAGGGCCACTAGTGTTTAGTCCTGAGCCCAGGCGGGGTGGGTCAGGAAGGGTAGGACTGTAGGCTAGGATGCTAGAAGACAGTCCGTGTACCTGCACTGCCCCCATGGGGGCTCAGGGCAGTTCCCTCTGTGCCCTGCGCTAGGGCTCAAGGCTCCGGACTCCGGGCTCCGGGAATACTGACCCTAGAGTCTTCTGTCCCTGCGTGCTCTCGGCCCTGGTGGTGGCAAATGGGAGAAGAAGAGGAGAAGAAGGAAGATTAAAGAGAGAGAGAGGAGGAGGAGGAGAAGCTCTTACTGTTGGTAGTCCTGTTTGCAGTAGAGTTTCCGATCCCGGAAGTAGCAGCTGGTGGTGAGAGCTTGCTGACACGCAGCGCACTGCAAACACTCCTCGTGCCAGGACGACTCGTTCACTCGCATCAGGAAACGATCCGAGATGGGCCGCTGGCAGCCCTCGCAGACGGCGGGATGCGGGCAGTCGGAGCCTGAGGAAGGGAGACAAGAATGGGGGGAGGGGGGAGGAGGTTCCATGAGCAAGGACTGAAGGAGTGGAGGCGCGGCCAGACACGGCCTTCCCGGTGCCTCCAGCGGGTGCCAGACTCGGGGCTCTGGGAGCTTCCCGGCTGGAGCAGAGCCGGCCAGCACTGGCTTAAGGGACCAGGGCCCACCGCGAGCTCTTCAGGGATATCCCCTACCCTGACCCCTGTGCTCTTGGCCCAGCAGGCTCAGGCCCTAGTCAACATGAAGAATCTGCACATTAAAGTGGTCAAAATCCCACAGTCCCAGTTATTCAGAAGAAATGCTTTTTTTTCTTTTTTAGGGGGTGGGAGTGGGAAAAATCTCACACTGAAGAAGGAATGAATAGGTAGCATAAAGCATTAGAAATAAAATTAGGTGTTAGGAGACCTGAGTTCTAATACCAGCTCTGCCACTAACTGGCTGAGTGACCCTGGGCAAGTCAGTTGCCCTCTCTGGGCCTCGGTTTCTCCGACTATAAAATCAGGAGATTGAACGAGATGAGCCTTTACGTTTCTTTCCATCTCTAACATTCTATGGTCCTATAAACTCCAACACTAGGACCAGTGTTATCAGTCCGGTCCCTCTCCAGCAGCGGCTCAGAGTAGGGCTCATTCGGCTTCTGTCTCCAGTCAATGACACGAAACTTTGGGGGCCGCCCCTACCGCCCGCCCCCTTCCTTGCAGCTAGGGACAACTTTCAGTTCCAGAGCCCTAGTTTCAACCCATGCGGATATTAGGAGGAAATAGGGCAAGGAACGGCCCAACTGTCGATGCGGCTGTGGGATGTCCCTCTCCATCCTCTCCCCTCATCTCGTCCCTTCCCTCTGCACTCACCCAGGAGCACCCCCAAGGTGGCGGGCCCGGGGCGAAGGGCGTGTTCTTCCATCTTGATGCCGTCCAGCATCTTAGTGCAATCGGTCTGTCCACGGGGGAAGCACCTCTCCAGAGACTCGGGACCTGTTGCTATATCCATGGGGCGCAGACACGGGGCTAGCTGTGAACTCGGGGGTCCAGGAGGCTTGGTCTGCTGCTCTATTCCCCGAGACCAGGAGACAACACGCGAACCCCGGCGGGGCTCGGGCCGGGCTGCCCCGGAGGATGGGGATCAATTTCTTTTCTTTCTTTTCTAAGCGTTTAAAACGTTTCGCAGGACCCCGGAGAAGAGGCGAGAGGAGCGGCTTATTCCTCTGGGTTCTGGCCGTGGTTCCGGGACGCGGGATCTGTGCGGTGTATGTACACACACGCACACACTCACACGCACGCGCGCGCGCACACAAATATACATGCACATACACACACACATGCACACACTCCCGTCTCTTCTGTCACCTGTTTGTCAGCAAAGGCTCCCTAGCTGCGGCGGTGGCAGCAGCAGCAAGAGGAGGCGGCGAGAAAGCAGAGGAGGAAAAGAGAAGGAGAAGGAGGAGGCAGGCGAGGGGGCCCCACAGAGCTGGCCCCCGAGGGCTGAAAGTGGAGGATGCCAGGCTGTGCTGGGCTGTGCCGGGCAGGACCCGCAGTCGGGTCCTGGGCGGAGCGGGGGTGTTGGGCTCCCGGGCGCGCTCTGCACACTATTAATGTGCCATGGTGCGCCCGAGGAGCCGCTCAGTTTAGAGCTGGAGCTGGAGGCGGAGGGATACTCCCGGCCCGGGAGCCGCCTCACCCCTCCCTCAAACTTCCTGACATTTGAACTCCATTGGTGCGTCTCGTATCCCTGCGCTAGGATGAGCCGTCTTCTCCACGTCAAATAGTGCCGTCGCTGGGCGCCCCCCCAAGGGCTTGCTGGGCCTCAAGCGCGTAGCCAGCACCGTCTATGTCCCGGGCCTTGGTACTGTGGGCTCAAGCCAGCATGGACGCTCAGGGAAAATGAGAGCAAACTCTTTAAAAAGTTTTTACTGTGTCTGTGTTTAAAAATTCCTCTTCCCTTCTCTGTCCTAGCCCCACCCTCTTGGAAAATTTGGATAGGGGGAAGGAGAAGATTGAGAAAGTTTTTTCTTTCTTTCTTCTTTTTTAATAAGAAGGGGGAGGACAAAGATATGTGACTCCGAGAAAGCTCCGCGCTGGAGGACTGCGGGGAACAGGGAGTGTGTCTCCTTTGGTTCCCGGGAAGGGGACAGTGCCAGGGCAGAAGTCGCAATGTCGGGGCCAGTCTCTGGGAGGGGACCCAGGGCAGGGGAGGTAGGTGGAGGGTTTAAACCCTAGGTCCTACATGGGAGAGGGGAAGTGAGATGGACCAAAACGGCGTTGGGGTGGGGAGTGTAGGGGGAGTGAGGAGGGTAGGGGTCGGAACAGACTTGATTGAAGCTGGTTGCGGGTCTCCGGACGCGCCAACTTGTCCCAGAGACCAGAGTCCTGAGCTTTCTCTAGTTGCGTCCGGAAAAGACGGGTCTTCTTCCTCTCTTCTCTGGAGCAGCTCAGACTCCGAGGTCGCAGAGGTCCTAGTAGCTGGTGCTGGACGTAGGCTGCTGGCCTGGGATCTAGGGGTGGAAGAGAAGGAATTTCCTCACAGTCCTGCTCCACCACTAGAGAGAGTGGGGGAAAGCGGCGGGAGGAGGGAAGAGGGAGGTAATGGAGAAAGAGTACGGGGGAGACAAGGAAAGGGAGAGGGAGAAGGAAAGGATGCAGATTAACCCTGAGCTATGGCTGCGCATGTAGAGCCCACCGAGAACGTCACTCTGGGACTCAACTCAGGCTGAGAACTAGGAACCTGGCCCAGGTTGATAGAAGCCGGGCCTCGACCTCTTTTTCTCTAACTCAATTTCCTATTGAAGATATCGACTTAAGCCCTTAGAGCATTGATTGAGAGTGAAGTTCAGGTTCTGCTGACCCTCTCCCCTCTGAACAAGGAGTCTAGTCCTAAATTCTCGGGGCTGAACTAGCTGGATTTCGCTGTGGATCCCGAAGTCTAGGCGGCCAAAAAACAATGCCTGCAACACTATTGGTCCTTGATCTATTTGCCCCGTCCTTGGAGAAACAGAAACTGATTGCTCCAGGGATTGAGAGTTCTCACTGGACCTCCTAGCAATCTGAACTTTGAGTCTTAAAATCTGGTTCGACCTCTGGCACTGCCGGGGCGCGGAAGAAGCTGCCTCTCCCTTACTGGTCACAATGAATTAGTTCTAGGGATTTAGGGGAAAGCCGACCGCACTCCAGGGGCGCGGGAGTGGGGTAAAGAGCTGGGCGGATGGCAATCCGAAGACGCAGCCCAGGCCCCAGGTTGTGTGGCGAGCCCTCAGCCTGCTTCTTCGGCTTGGTTCCTGTGGGTGCTCGCCAGAGGTTGGCTGCAATTAGACGCAGGGCCGAAGGGACTGAAGCTGGGGAAAAAGGGAGGCGTATTTCTGACCCTAAGAAAGGCCAGGGGGACAGATCTAATTTGGATCCTGACTCAGCCTTGGCCAAATTCACTCCCTAAATGCTGGGAGGTCTCCACGGAGGAGCGGGGTGGGGGTGGAGGGAGGTGCGGAACCCCCCAAGCCTTTTAGAGACCAAAAACTCCCTGTGAACATATCTGGGGAGAATGTCTAAACAGTGGGTTGGGCTCTCGTGAGCCTTGGCTCTTCGAGGTCTAGGGTGGCCCTTCCAGGGAGTCGTTCTTGCCGGGCAGCGGGGAATGAAAGGTAGGCTAGTAAAGATGAAGGCAGTGGAACCGCTAGTCCTCTGCGGCACACCTATCCTGCAGGGGGCAGCGGGATATAGGCCACCGCTGCGGGCGACTTCGGCAGGTCGCGGAGCGTGGGTTCTGCTGGGTCGTGTTGGCGCTGCCCTCTGCTGGCCCAGGGGCTTTCCTACACTGCCCTCCTGGGCAGCAGTCCTGGGAGCCCAAGGACAGGTGCTGCGTACCCTGCCCCTTCCTCCGGCCTGGAGCAGCGGTGGAAGAAGTTCCCGGAGTACGACACCCGAAGGCGGGCCATTTCCCAGAGAGGTTTCCCCTGTAAACCACCCAGGAGTAGTATTCGGGAAAGCAGACGGAGAGGAGAGGGGAGGATCTGTTCTCCTCCAAGAGGGGTTGTGGGTGGAGAAAGCTAGGTTATGCTGGAGCCTCAGGCCCGGGCCCCAGCGGCTGTCCAGGCCGACCCACTCCTCTCTGGGGTTCTGACTGCCGTTTCCTGACTTCTTCGGGTCGAATCAACCTGGTAGCAGTCCATGGCCAATACCGAATTCCGGCTGGGATAGAGGTATTGTCGAAGGGAGTCCCTTAGGAAAGGGTGTCGCTTTTCTCTTTGATGGCATCTCCAAAGGTTAGATCTGGCTCCAAACACCCTCGAATCCCTTAATAATCCGTTGTAGAGCTGCCATTCAGGAATTTCTCAATACTCCACTGGAACCTATTTATGTTTCCAGCCCTCCCCCCAACCCACCCCCGCTGGGATAAGGCCTTTCCCTGGGCCCTTGATGTGCCCCTTTCGGCTTTTAAGGAGGGGAGGGGTGGGAGGGAAGGAAAGCTATTTCTAATGGTGCGGGGATTTGGGCAGCCCTCGCTTGGCCTTTTCTTATTTTATATCAACTTTTCTCTTCTCTTTCCCGCCTGCAACTTTCCAGGATAAAGAGGCCTTACTTTTCAGTCTGGCCTTCATTCCGTTCTTGGTTATTTAGTCTGCCTTAGGGTATGGACCCCTAGACCTACCTGCCTACAGGATTCCTGGTGCGTATTGATTCTTTGAACGGATATTGACAGTGGAGGGGGCCCTTCAGCCTTTTCACAATCAGGTCAGCCACTACAATTATCGTGTACATCCCACCACACTTCCTTCACACTGCAATGCCCCAACATGTCCGCACACCGTGCATAGAGTAGGCGTTTCCTGTAGCTTTCCCCGAAAAGAAGAGTCATCTGCCTCTGGGTCTTGCTTAAATTGATTTTAAAAAAAATCTTTTTCAAGGTGATCTGGGCCAGTAGATGTCAACGTGAGCGCTCAGCTTGGGCCAGAACCTCAGCGCTGGAGACCCACGGGGAGACTCTAGTCTCGTTCCGTTTAGCCTTCAACCCTACTTCTCCTCCTAGAGTCGGAAAGGTGAGGCCGCTGTCAGCTTTCGAGTTTTCGTTCGTGAGTCTTACAGAAAAGCAGCCAGGAGTCCCTCGGGAGTACAGAGGCCGCAGAGCAAGGCGGGGCCCGGTGGCTAGCAAGTTCTTCTGCCCGACCGGAGCTCTTGAGCGGGGTTGGGCGGGTGGCTGAGAGAACACTCTGCCCAACTGAGCGCTGCATCCCTGAAGGAGGAGTCCAGAGAGCCCGCTCTAACCGCAAATGGTCCCATGCAGGAGTCCTCTTTGTGCTCCGAGGCGCTTAATCTCCAGGGTGGAGACTCCCTTTCTGGGCTGGCCTGGGGCTGCACCTCTATTTTAAGAACGCGGGACTTCTATCCTTACGTGGCTGCCCAATCGTTTCTCTCCCTCTCTCTGACCCACTGGCTGGTAAACGTCCTTTGGAAAAGACCCCTCTGGACAGAGAAATGATCCCCCAAATCCCCCTTCCCGCCTCCATTACCAACAAAATTCTGGGCAGTTGTTGTCCGCCGAGCTGCGGAAGCAGGCTGGAGCGGCTTGGTCCTCCTTAGAGCTTTGCCACAGAGAAAATGTGGAAGGGGTAGGTGTCGGGGTATAGCGCACCAACTTTCTGTCCTCAGTACCCACCTCCTGGGAGTGTCTTGGGCTCACCCTGGAGCCGTGGGCTAGAGGGGTTAGAGAGTTCGGGAATATTCTTCGAAGGTTCAGTTTAATTACCTAGTTGGGGCTGGGGGGCGCCTGGCCGGGACTTCTCGTTCGAAGCGGGAACATCTGACTTCTTGGTCCGGTGTTCCTGAACATCGTTTAGCCGAGCCCTCACAAACAGAGCCCCAACATCCTGGTCTTCTCCTACTTAAAAAAGGCTGAATTTGTGTCTTCTTGCAGGTGGGGGATTGGGACGAGGGTGTGTGTGTGTGTGTGTGGGTACTCTTTAAGCAGAGCTTGAAATAATAGCAAAGACTGCTACATTGGCCAGCACTTCTCTAGAGGCCGAATTTGCCTAGGCAGCAGAGGTTCTTCCCATCCGGCCAATTCCAGACCAAAGAGTCTGTAAAGCTTTAGACTTAAGAGCCCAGATCCCTGGCGGGGTGAGTCTACTAGCATACTCAAATGGGCCACTGAACGAATGTGGTATTGGGGAAGAAATGTAGGCCGCTTTATCACTTTTTCTCGAGCCTTCAATAGCTGACTGTCAGGTCGACCTCCGCTCCTCGGGGACCCCTTCGTTATTTTTCTCCTTTTTAGGAAAGGTAAGGAGACTAAGCGGTTTTGTGAGAGCCTCTGGTCCCGGAAAAGAATGGCAGAGGAGTTGAACAGGCAAACCCTGGAGATGGCAAAGGATTTGCGGCCAAGCCACTAATCTCCCGGACCCCTCCTCATATAGTTCAGTCAGAGGCTCCTAACCAAGCCCGGGCGTCCCAGCTCCTGGAGCCGCTGGCCAGCGGCTTCCCGAAGCCTAAGAGTCGGAGGGAGCTGGTGGGCAGGGGTAGCAGCCGCGCTGGCTGGGCAACGGAGGGCCCAGGAGAGAGAAAGCTAGGTGGAAGCAAAAGGAGAGAAGGAGAAACCGGAGGAAATTGGTAGGAAGGAAAGTAAAGATCGGAGAGAGAAAAGTGGCAAA